ATCTCACTACCTGGTCAGTCACCTGAAGTTCGTCTGTAATGTTCCATCTTCAGCCTATAGACCATAGTGTGTCTGACAGACTTCTCAGCAAAGCAGGAAACTTTAAATTGTCTACGTGTATTGGCAGTTTGTCAGTCACTTTTCTCTGTGTCCTGCAGAATGTCTGGCAGATTCTTCCATGAGGCAGGAACCCTGTCCATCTTGTTTTAGCAGTCACTGTTCTGTGGGTCCTACATGCCCAGTTTATAATGCATAAAGTCAAATAGTCCAGACAAGAGCAGTATTTTTCCCAAATGGCTAGTCTTGCCATATTGAGTAAACTCCATAACGAGGTTCTTTGATGTCCATCTTCCATTCTGACGCAAGTGGTGTTGTCAGAAACAGTTGTCCCTCATTGTTAAGAAAAACCCTAAACCATTTTTACTGCCATATTCTGTAGGTCTTTGAAAGGTTTGAAGAATGCCTATTCATCTCAAATACATCTCTGTATATCTAGAAATCCTAACTAACCTAACTCTATCATAGGTACCTATCTATAATCTGTATTAAATTATACATTACATTTCTAAATGAGTTATATAAACATAATACCTATATAAAAGGAGAAATATACATATCATAAAATTGACCTTAAATTTGTATCAATAAATGAAAATCCATTCCAAAACAAAGTATTCATATCTAGACCATGATCCCCTTTTTACCTTTAAAGAGATTGGTTGTGGTCATTAACCACTTATAACCAACCCCTTATAACCAACCCCATCTATATGAAAACAAACATTTATAGACAATATTTGGGAATTTGGGTGTCATTCTTTCCAAACTGCCTTCTGCTGGTAGGGGGCACAATCATGGGGATCCTATGAAGATGCAGAAATCCTGGCTGTAGTGGTCTGAGGCTGCCTTGTCCCAGCTGTTTTGAATGTTGGATCACCTGGGACACCGTTTTAGAGGGTCTTGCTTGATCAAAACATGTTAGTCTGGAAGGAATCCACAGCTTTTTATTTTCTGTGGAAACAAAATTAGAAATCATTTTCCCCAGTAACCTGTCCTTAGACTTAAATTTTGAAGTCAAAGCATTTTTAAAATATATCAGTTGGATTAATTTAGCAGCATTGATAATCAAGTGTATTGTGGCAATTATTTCTTCCTTAGTAATTGAGTAATTTAAAGACAATACCATGGCATACAGTACACAGACTCTTTTTGTGCTTTTCTTCTTAAGGGCAATATACAGCTAACCAATAGCCAACATCAAATTTAATTTAATGAGAAAAACTCAACGATTCCACTAAAATTGTGGACTGTCCACTCTCACCCTATCTACTTGAGGTTTTAGCTAGAGCAATAAACAACTGAGGGAGATCAGGGGAATATAAAATGGAAAGGGAGAACTCAAAGTATCTCTATTTGCAGATGATATGATTGTATATATAACTGAGCCAAAAAAAGTTCTTCAAGTTACAAAAGTAACTTGACATCCCACATACAGAAGATAAATGGGCTGGGAAAAACTCAGGGCTAAAATACCCTTCAGAGTATCCACAAATATTAGAAAATATTTTAGTGTAACTCTAACCAAGTGTGGTGGTTTCAATAAAATGGTGCCCAAAGCGAGTGACACTGTTAGGTGTGACCTTACTGAAGTAGGTGTAGTGCTTAACTGTGAGTGTGGGCTTTGAAGTCTCTCTTTGTCAAGCTTTCCTTTGTGACAGACACACCATTTCTTGTTGCCTGGAAGATGTAGAAGTCTCATGTACTTCTCAAGCACATGTCTGTCTACACTCTACTATGCTCTCTGCCATAATAGTAATGGACTGGGCCTCTGAAACCGTAAGTGAACCATACCAATTATATATGCTCCTTTATAAGAATGGCCATGATTATGTTTTATTTTCACAATAATAGAACCCCTAAATGAGACACCAAGCAGATAAAAGACCTTTACGACAAGAACTTCACATCTTTGAAGAAAGAAACTGAAGAAGATACGAGAAGATGGAAAGATCTCCCATGTTCATATATACATAGGATTACCACAGTAAAAATGGCCATCTTACTAAAAGCAATCTACAGATTCAATATAATTCCCATCAAAATTCTACCACAATTCTTGACAGATCTTCAGAGAACAATATTCATCTTCTTATGGAAAGACCAAAAAACCTGATAGTTAAAAAAATAAATAAAATCCTGTAGAATGAAGGAACTTTTGGAGGTATTACTATCCCTGATTTCAAACATTACTATAGAGCTATAGTAGTAAAAACTATATTGTATTGTCACAGAAACAGGCAGATAAGTCAGTGGATAGGGGGAAGTAGGGGATGGACTTGGAGGAAAAATAGGTAAGAGAACTTTGGCCATTGTGCAAAAATAAGCAAACAAAGCAACAGCAAAAAGAAAACAGAGTCTCAACCAGGTCTGGTCAGGCTGTACATTTCTGTGAATGATTCTCTTAATTGATGCTGGAGTGAAGAGGGCACTGTGGGATGCATCATTGCTAGGAAGGTGGTCCTTGGTTGTATGTGAAACTAGCTAAGCAAGAGCCAGAGTGTGAGCCTGAGAATGAGCCAGTTTCTTCAGTGATACAATATGACAAAGCCCCAAAAGGGAAACTGAGTCTACTCCCTCTTCTCAACTGCTCTTTTTCACGGTGTTTTATCACAGCAAGAGAAACAGAACAGTATATAGGAAAGGCATGTGAGTTTGAACATTTGCGATTTGCAGTCAAAGGTAAGCCCCCTCAGCACCCTCTGTGCAAAGAAAGGGTAGTATTTAGACAGCAGTCATTGGTCAGAAAGCATACAAGCAGTCCCCTACACTACACTAGTGCCGTCTCTTTTCATAACCAGACAGGATTTCTTTGTGTAATCCCGTAGACATGGCTGGCCTGGATGTAAGAGACCCACCTGCCTCTGCCTCATGAGTGCTTGGATTAAAGGCATTCACCACCATTCCCAGCTGTGCCCCCTTTTTTAATCTCAGGAGAAATGCCATAGGACTTTCCCCTGAAACTTCCCGAGCACAAGATCCCTACTGAGATTGTCCTCTCTCTAGATTCCCACTACTTCCAGAGTTTCCCAGGACAAATCTCTGCAACCCTGTCTAGACCCTGCTCTAAGCTACTGGCTCTTTTTTTTTTTTTTGTCTGAGAACACCTTTTTGCATGGGGGCTTTCAGAGTCTCTTCCCTGCTATCATCTCTCTTATAAGAAAGCAGGATTACCACCAGAGCATCACCTAAGCAAAGGGCAAAGGTGACTCAGGAAGAGCAAGGAGGGCTTAGGCTCACCAAACACATAATGCTGAAGGTTGTCTTGAAACCCTCCATATGATACAGTCCTTTCAAGGACACACAGGTCACCTCTTCCCAAACACTGAGCACATGAAACTCCACACAACTGCCTCTAAGCCTCTCTCCTGGATCCTTAATTTGACTGGTGACATTAGTGACTAAGGATTGATCTTCATCCCTAGTCACCATCCAGCTGCTTTCTTTCTGGTCTTCAGAGACTTCCCTGTCTCTTTCCTGCTTGGATTCAGTAAAGCCCACCTTCTCAGAGCATTGAGACCACAGGGCATACCAGGTTCTCGGCGGGTTCTCTGTGTCTCAAGGACTTAATGTGTGATGGAGGTTCCTTCTGGTGCTGAGGGACCCAAGGCAAGGACACAGCAGGTGCCAGCCCTAGGATGAGTCATTGTTCTCTGAAGGAATGAAGATTCTTATCAGCGTTGTTGCTCACGTGTGTTGCTTGGAGGAGACACATAAAGGGAAGTTGGGAGGGATGTAGGTCAGCACTGAGGGTAGAAGGCATTAAGCAGTGCTTCGGACTCAAACTCCACCACTCACAGCCCCGGTCTGAGAAGGAGAAAGGACAGCAGAACCTGAGTTCTGTGTTGGAGCTGAGGCTCTTCTCCTCAGAAGCAGGACAGAGAGTGAGAAGATTGATGGAGGGGTCCTCTATGCTCCTTTGTAAGGGGTCTACCCCCTGGCAGGGGCTGCTGCTCACAGGTAAGGGCAACCATTCTCTGCCTGTGCAGGGAAGGAAACTCAGAAGCAGGCTGGAGTCTCCTAAAGAGGACGGGAACCTAGGAGACTCAAGGCCTTTGTTTGTGGTTATGGTGCAGAAGACAGAATAAGAGGCTGACACTCAGCAGCCTGAAGCTTTTGGTGGGCAGGATGTGATGATGGCAAGAGAAAAGCCTCAAACTTTCCATATTCGCTGTGAATTACATTGGCCGCAATGTTCTGACGACAGCTGTAGCCAACCAACTGTATGACCCTCGTATCAGAAATCAAGCAGAGAGGGCTAGTGAGACACCTCAGTGTGTGACAATATGACAACCTGAAACCAATCCTCAGCTCATAGTGGTTGATGGAGAGGACAGACTCCCGCAGGCTCCATTCGGCCCTCAATATCAGATCTGTGGCATACACACACACACACACACACACACACACACACACACTGACACATGTGCCTGCACACAGATTTGAGGCATACATCTTCATATGAGCACAGGAAGACACCAGCCTTCACTAATACACAAAATATATTTACATGATGAAATCTAAAATCATTTATTATATACTTGAATATTACTATTGTCATAATCTCCAAACCTAGGGACTATAAAGAGAAACCTAGGGAGTTCTGTTCCTATTTACGTACTTACTTAATTTTTCCTTCTTTTCTTCCTTCGTCCCTCTTTTCCTTTTTTCAACTTGTGTCTGAGTCTTTTCCAGGAACCAAAACTTCCAAAACTATCAGATTAATTCTGCACTTACAAATCCCTTTTATGCTGGGTGGTGGTAGCTCAGGCATTTAATCCCAGCCCTTGGGAGGCAGATGCAGGTGATCTCTGTGAGATCAAGGCCAGCCTGGTCTGTAGAGTGAGTTCCAGGGCAGCCAAGCTCCACAGTGAAACATAACAGACAAACGAAAAGCCCTGGGTATACGGGACCTGATGTCAGTATATCTGAAAGATGACGTCATGGATTGGCTAGACTCACAAAGAGAACAGGAAAAGGAGAAAAAGTGAGGACTCTCCACGGGAGGAGTTCAGAGAGGCATTGCCCCTCAAACCAGATACTTTATGTGACGAGGGACGCAGAGGGCAGGGTAGACACCTCAGCAGAGAATTCCTAAGAGAGCCACTGACACACTCAGACATTAAATCAATGGGAGGCACGTTGCTCGCATCTGCAAAGAGGGTGGGCGCATCCCTACTCACAGACCAAATTTAAGTGATGGTCAAACCTGTTTAATATTGCTGGGTTTTCTCAATTCTCTTCTAGCCTCTCTTTTAAGCTTCTGCCACCTGGCCACCACTGACTATGTGATCATTGAGTCAGTGCCACCCCTGGTGGCCAAAGGAGATGACGTCCTTTTCCTTGTCCACAATCTGCCAGAGAATATTCAAGCCTTAGCCTGGTTCAAAGGGCGGACAAATGAGAAAGACGCAATTGCACTATATGACCTGCACAACAATGCGAGTGTGCCAGGGGCTGTGCACAGTGGGAGAAATACAATATATCACAACGGGTCCATGCTGATCGAAAACACCTCTGAGAAGGACGAAGGATACTACACCTTGAGAACCTATGATGAACATGCAGAAATTGTATCAACAACACTCACATACCTCCACGTGCAGGGTAGGTGATTCATTGTGAGCTCTGTGGGCCGGGTGATGTTCATTTCCCTGGAAACACACAGGAGAATGGTCTGAGCCTACCTTCCCTATGCATCATGCTGCATGATAGGGTTTATTTAGTGTAAGACAAATATGGTGTAGAATAATGGAAATAGATCAGAACCCTTCCTTTGACTTCACCTTGCACATAGGTAGACGCACGGTGGGTAACTCGGCCAGGGATTTCAGCCCCTGTGTAGACTCAAGGGGTTCTTACTAGGAATGTTTCCTTGAGACAGACTCCTTGGGAATCAACAGTGTGCCTGGTTGTAGAAGACAGGGGTGGCTCACAGAGATATGAACACCAGGATGCTCTGCTCCAAATCTCTGCCCCAGAGTCAACTCCAGGTGTCCATGAGAAGCCATTTATCTAAGGGTTGGATTCTGATTTCCTGATGGCAGGGGCCACTGCTCCCCAGCAGTCAATGTCTTATGATGTGTGGAAACAGTTCACCATCACGAGAGCCTTGCTTGGGCTACATCCCTTGACCATCTCTGTAGAAAATGGCTACAGGCCATTTTTTTCTTCACAGACATGAGCTTTAGTTCCTCCCACAATTACCAGGGATGTCATCAGTTACACAATGAACTAGCAGGAAACTTTTTATATGAACGAGGAACTTACTTAGTCACCTGGTTCCACCCATATTCTTACAGACCTGGAAATCATTGTAACAGCATTCTCAGACTGACTGGTTGTCTAATGTGTCTGCCACACTGCTAAGACATCATGTATGTTCTGTTCCTTTGGGAAATACATGACATCCATGGTGGATCAACAATGTAGAAGACCCCGAGGCATGTCAGAAAGATCATGGAGCACATGGTTAGACCCATTACACAGCTCAGCAAACAGAGATGAGAACATGGTCTTCAAAATCTTGCAAAGGATAAAAGACTTTGCAGCCCTTTTCCAGGAATCAGGTCACCTCCCCCCACAGACCCAAGATGTGAGACTCCGGACACATTGTAGGCATCTGATCTCACTGGGAGCTCAGTCCTATGGTGACTCCAGTGAGGACAGATTATTATCTTCCGCACATCACTCACCTGGTCCATTTGTAGTCTCAAAGGTAGTTTTGCCACCTTCCTGCTGAGATCATGATCCATGTTTGCAGAGCATTGAAGGCACAGGGCACACTAGGTGCACAGCTGGGTTTCTTTGTCACATAGTTGTACAGATTCCCTTTTTGATGCCGAATAACCTAGGCCAGGACACAGCAGAGAGCAGTCTCAGGGTCAATTGCTGTTATGTCACAGGGATGGTAATTCCCCTTGGCGCTTACTGTGTGTTCTAGAGGACAGAAACATAAAGAAAGAATGGGAAACTGGGCGGGCAGAGCAGGGATTTGAACACAGACCCTCCCTCGGCTGATGGGATGTGCTCCTTCCTGTGAGGAGCTCAGCTCAGATGGGGGAAGGACAGCAGAGCTTGTGAGCTGTGCAGGAGCATTAGTACCCGGAGGGATGGTCAGCCTACTGAGACAATGGGAACAGCCTAAGCACTCCTGTGCAAACAGTGCAGCTCCTCTCAGGGGTGCATGGGACTCACGGATAGTGAGTGCGGGTGTTGACAGTGTGTGAGAGGAGAAGTCTGACAAACTGGAGTCTCCTGGGTGGCACAGGGACATGAGAGGATTCTCGGTGTTTGTAGGGGAGAAGACCCAGAGTGGGAGGGGTCACCATCAGGATGCTCTCCCTGAGTATTAGACTGTAAGGGCTGGGGAGACTTAACTCCTACACAAAGTTAGCAAGCATGGCCACAGTATTCTGAAGACTGATGCTCTCAGCTTGAGAGCCCAACCGGAAGTCACACTTGTGTGGATCACTGATATTGTCCAACAGTTATAGGCATTTACTTCTTTGTCTGACAAGTTGAGAGCAATGAATGGAAATCCTCTGACCTCCAATTAAGTATTGTGTCGATGATAGACACACACACACACACACATACACACACACACACACACACACACACACTACACTAGCCCTTACACTACTCATGCACAATTATAATGTATAAGCATGTGGAAAATATCAAGGCAAATGGAGTGATCCAACACTGAATCCTTAAACCTACAAGTTTCTTAAATAAATCCATAGGCATATTGGGGTGTAGGCCATCAATCATTCTTTTAATTGCCATATATATCAAAGCTTTTTTCTAGGCAGAATTTAAAAAAAAAGAAAGAAAGAAACAAAAGACAACGTATGATCCTTAAGACGCCCCAGTTCAGGTGGACTTGAAGTAAAGGAAGCTAGAAGGTGAATTCAGGTATCGTCCACCAGCACGAGAGGAGCAGAGCAACAGCTGAACTCAGAGAGTGAAGACAGGGTCTGTAGGGGAAGAGGACGAGCAGGCATCATCCCAGCCACATCCATTGTAAAAGAGAGCAGGGGTCTGAGGGCAGTAGCTGGGGCAATATTGACATCTGGATACAGGGAGCCATGCAGTGGAAACAACCGGCATGCGGACACTGAGAACAAGGTCGTGTGCTGACCTTCCCCACCCCCCGCCGCCGTGGGAGAGGAAGGCTCCCACCCACAAACCCGTGCTGTGCAAACCCGTGCTGCGCAATGAACACAGCTGCTCGGGGCACAGGGCCTCATCTTCATCAGTACAAATGCCCCAACTTGTACGTACCTCTCTCTTCCGTTCTAGATTTCCTTTGGAACTGTGGGCGCCATGCCACCTCCGCCCAGCCCACTGTTGAATCAGTGCCTCCCAGCGTTGCTGAAGGGGGGAATGTTACTCTACTCATTCACAATCTCCCAGAGAATCTCCACGGCTTTGTCTGGTTCAAAGGAGTATCTGTGCTCTGGGAACACGAGATTGCCCGATACACAATAGGCAGAAGTTCAAGTGATACAGGGCCTGCGCACAGTGGCAGAGAGACATTGAACAGTGATGGATCCCTGACGATTCACAACGTCACTCGGAATGACACCGGACTGTACACCCTACGGATTGTGAGTGCAGATATGAAAAGTGAGGAAGCACATGCCCAGCTCCAAGTGGACAGTGAGTGATTCTCTGTGTTTGTTCAAGGCTGGGTGGGGCTTAGACACACAGGACTGTCACCAGTGGGCTGGTCTCATTTCCCTCCCCAGTGTGTCCCCATGTGGAGGTTTGTGCATTTCATTTAGGACAAATGGCCGTAGATCGGCATCCATCTTCTGACTCATCTTCATCAAGGAAGACCCTGATGGAAATGACTCATCCTAAAATGTCAGAGTCAGCCCAGTCTCTTGGAACGCTAGATCACGGAGCCCTGAGCCCTGTCGTCTTTCCAAGGCTGGATGAAAGTGACCAATGGGAGCACTTATCCTGTCAAAGCTGATAGGCGATAATGGATTTAGAACATCTGCGCCAAGATGGGGCCTATATTAGCTCTTTGCCATCATGTCGTAAATAAAATCCAGGAACTGGTAGTGAAACGGTGGAGGAGTGCTGCCTACTGGCTTGATTGTCAGTGCTTGCTCAACCTGCAAACTTGTATCGCCTAGTACTGCCTGCAGTGATCTCAAATCTTTCACGTCAATACCCGATTTTTAAAAATGTACTGTAGTCTTGCCCACAGGCCAATATGGCAGTGGCATTTCCAACTGAGGCCCTGTATATAAAATAAGTCTCACCTGTGGTAAGTAGACATAAAAGTAGCCAGTCTACCGCACAAGCCTTTTAAAGACCTGAGTCTGCCACGAAGCTCAGACTGCTCCCAGATCCCACCCAGTCCCAGTCCTGAGGGCTGGCAGGCAGGGAAGCTACAGCGTCTATGGTGAGGCGTCAGGGTTTGGTTGGAGCCACAAAGGAAACTGGAAAGAAAAACCTATAAACCTATGAAGTGAAAACCCCAATCACGTTGAGTCCGTCGGAGGCCATGTCTAAACCTCGTCGTGCATGAATGTGCAATGTCTGACTGAGAGCTATGAAGACACATGAATGGAGAGTTCCATGATGGGGAAATGACATGGGGGGGGGCGACTCAGATGTAATGAGTAGGCCAGTTACTGACTTTCATTAAGTGACATAGACACACCCACACCTACTGCTCTAGGCTGAATGACAAATCCATGTGCTCAAGATTGAGGTCACTGCCTTTCCGTTATGCACAATGATCTTCATGCAATGCCTTTTTTTTCTCTTTTCCCTTCCAGCCCCCCATTCTCCATGCTGCAACCCTCCTACCACTCCCCCACTCCAGATCCAACTAGTGCCTAAGCATGCTTCTGAAGGGAGAGACATTCTTCTCCGAGTCCTTAAACTTCCAGAAGATTTCCAAGCCTTCACTTGGTACAGGGCGGTATATCGTGATCCATATTTTGAAATTGTCAAACACGACAGAGTCCTGAATACTACCACCTGGGGAGCTCAGTATACCAGAAGAGAGACTGTCCATCACAATGGAAATCTGCTGCTCAAGAACATCACTCAGAAGGATTCAGGAATGTACACAATAGAAATTTTGAAAAGTGATTTCAAAATTGAAAGAGCACATGTGCAATTATATGTAAACAGTAAGTGACTCTGTGGTCTCCAGCTGCGGGCTGTGGCTTATCCTAATTCATACACTGAACTGTCAGGACCCACTGTGCCTGCTGCATTGTGTCCGCACAATAGTGTTTGTGCACTCACTGCTGGACACATATTGGGGGGGACAATTAAGTGTGGGTTAGAATCCCTCGCCTGTCTTTACCTGTACTAAGGAGAACCTGTTCTGGATAGCTCATCAGAAGGATGTCAGGCTCGGTGCAGACTCTTGTGGCTCTCACCGTGCACATAGACTGAAGACAGACTCTGTGGGAGGCAGACAGACACTGATGTGGGAGCCATGGGGTCTGCACAGAGAGCACCAGGAAGCCCCGACTCCAGAACTTTGCTGTTGGCTGCACTCTGGCTTACACAGTGGAGGTTTTGTCACTGTTTGTTCTGATTTCCTTTTAGAGCTGACAGGGAACATGTCTTTACTGACCCTCCAAATCCCTTCGAGTATAGAACCAGCTATGACAGCTGCAGTTGGGTAGATCACCTGTGTATCTCCTTCTCGTGTGTCTCAGTGGAGAGGCATCCAAGCCATTAGCCTACTGTTCTGGTGGGCTTATGAGATTTCACTAAAAGAAGTCAATGCATTAGGGGAAGAAACAGCAGAGGCAGCTAGTCCAGATTCTTCCTTCTTCTCATGGGTCCAGCCTGGGAAATTTTCTTCTGTAGGTAAATGGAAACAGATGGTGCTGATGTGAACAACTCCCCATCCAAGGTCAGGTCATTGCTCACAACTAAGCTTAACTCATGGACATGGCAATGATCTTGCTCTGTGTGTCCTATTACAGAAAATGTCATAGGAAATAGTGCCTGAATCAGAGTCAGAGAATGCCTGAGTAGAAGAACCAAAACATAGGGTATATTTGTAGTCACAGCTCCAAACTCTGCCCCTGAAGGCTCTATTAAGTATGAACTGAAGAGGGGCTGGTTGAGCAATCTGGACTACCATCTTTTGATACCCTCCTCTGTTTCTTCACAGAGTACGTAGAACAACCATTTGTGCGAGTCACTAACAGCATGGTCTCATCAAACAGATCTGTGATCTTCACCTGTGTTTCACCTGACACTGATGTCTCCATCCGTTGGTACTTCAATAACCAGAGTCTGCATCTCTCAGAGAGGATGACTCTGTCGTCAACAAAGTGTGGACTCAGAATATATCCCGTAGGGTTGGAGAATGTTGGAGAGTATCAGTGTGAGATCTCCAACCGAGTCAGTTTGGCTACCAGTCCCCCAGTCTGGTTTGAGTGATAGATGAATGAGCTCTCCTTTCATCCTACAGTAGCACGCCAGCATTTCTTTATCAGTGGGGCACTAAGCAGAGAAAAGCCGTATGGTGAATTTCATCAGTTATCATTCAGAAATGGCCAGCACGTTGACTCATATTTATAATACTGGGATACATATGTGTACAATGGCAAGATGAGATTTAAAGTGATACTATATCTCCAAAAAAAATTAAAGACATAAATATGGTAAACAGAAATGAAAATGACTTGACAGCTTTGGTTATAAGTCAAAAAGAGCCAAACACCAGAATTCATGGGAGCTAATTTCAGGTACTGCCAAACTTTTGGAAGCTCTGAATCTGATGTAAAAATGGTAGAGGGTTTGCATAGAGAAAAAAAAATTCTCGGATGGTCAAATATATTCATTGTTTAACTCACTAAATTAACAACTTAAGCTTTTAGGTATTTCAACCTTATAAACTTTACATCTCTTTTGCAAGCTTCTTTTGGAATTTGGTAATAAAAATGCTATAATTGTCTAGTCTTCAACCTCTGCCAAAGACCCAAGAATGATATAATATTAACTGAGTAAACAAGAAGTGCAGAGCAAAACTTCCAAAACTATAAATATGACAGAGACATCCTGCTGTCTGGAGAGTCACCCCATGGATTCTCTGTAAGGCTGAAGCAGCCATATTCGGCCTACAGGCTAGAATACCCAACAGACTTTTCTGTGAAGCAGGATTTTTGAAGGATTGTCTTGCCTTGTTTGGCAAAGTTCAGCAGTCACCTTCCTTTGTGTCTTGCTTGTCCAATTTAGACAACATACTGTCAGCATCCAAAACACACATAATTTTTTCCCAGTGGCTAGCTTTACCACAATGAAAGCAAGCTCTACATGGAGGTTCTTCAATGCATGTCATCCATTTTTTGAAGTGAATTGGTTCTGCCAGTAGCAGACATATCTCATAAAAACCCTGGTGTCATTAAAACACCTTAAATGCCATATCCTGTAGATCTCTGAGGTTTTGAAGACCATATGTTCATCTAAAATATATTTCTGTTTGACCTTGAAAGCATACCTGACAAGGCAATAAATTTGATTACTAGATGATTAACTACTAACCTGCATTTCTTAATTACCCTAGTTTGTAATAATAAATTTCAATGACTGTATATTTACATTACATTATCAAATGTGTTTCATAGGTATTATGCCTTTAACAAGTATACAAACATTTGCACATTTTAACAAAAGTAATCTAAAATTTTATCAACATACAAAAATCCATACAAATGTAAAAAAATTTCAGACTAATGGTTGCTTTTTAGTATAAAAGTAGATTCAATAATCTCCCCTCTTTCTTATCATTTCTATATGATATGTCCTCTTTCTCCTTCAGAAAGAGATCCCTGGATCTAACCGCCTTTGCTCAGGTTTTTTCCCAACCATGACCAGCAACAACCTACAACCAACCCCACTAAATGGTGATGAACTATCATAATCCATTGAACAACCAAAAATCACCCACCCACCTCACCTCATAAGAATGTAGGTATCATGTTATCTAGACTGCTTCCTCCTTTCAGGGCAAAGCAACATCTGTAGCAGACCCTGTGAACATTGGGATAGTGATCAAGTCCTGGAAGAGCTAGCGGTATTATTTTTTTGTTTAGTCTCTGTGTTATGGGAAAGGGTAGAGCTTGTCTGAAGTCTTGGCTGGAGTAGTCTGTGAGGCTAGACCATCTCAGTTGGCAGCTTTGAAGTTGTTCTCCATATAAAATATTTTAAAAACCACAGCAGAGGCATTCTAAGACTCTGGATCACATGGTCCACTTGTCTTCATTAGTTTCAGATCCTACCCCCTCAAACAAACAAACTTTATAAAGTACCAATTTTCTGTTCTACATTTGAGAAGCTAAAAGACATCTGTCAACTTTATAAGTCTGTTTGGACTGTATAACCAGACCTCTACCTATACCTTTAAAGAGCCAATGTGTCTGCCCATCTATGGTGAGCAGACAGCACTAGTGGCTGCTCAAGCCTACAGGTAGCAGCCAGGAGTAGTGCCTCTCTAAGCAGTGGGCATTTGATTGCTTGAGAGATTGTGGGGCAAGGATGCCATGTCTGGCTCCTAATTTTTCTCAGACCCTATGTTTGGACACTTGAGCCCCATGTTGAGTGTCAAATGAAACAATGCAGTTTGAATTTGTTTTGTGGAACGCCAGCTCCCCAATAATGACACAGAGCCTTCATATTATGAAAGCTTGGCCTTAGCTCAGGATTTTTTCCAACTAGCTCTTGAATCTACTACATCTCTTTTTGTGTGTGTGTGTGTGTTTTGTTTTATTTTATTTAATTTTATATAACAAAGTCCAATTAAATGAAAACAAACATTTATACACAATTTTGGGAATTTGGGTGTCGTTCTTTCCAAACTACTTCCTGCTGGTAAGGGTGCTGTCTTGGGGGATTCGAAGAAGATTCAGATATCCTGGCTGTAGTCTGTAGGGCTGTTTTGTCCAGCTGTTTTGAATTCTACTGCATCTCTTAATCTACACTCTGCCAAGGGCCTTGGTTACCTCTGTTCTGTACTAACATGTCTGATTTCTTCAACAGTTTCTTGATAAATGAACCTCTCTTCTTCCCAAAGCTTTCTCTCTCCCCAGAAATCCTGCCTATTCTCTCTTGCCTATCTATTGACCATCCAGATCTTTATTAAACCAATCACAGTGACACATCTTCACAAAGTGTAAACAAATATTCTGCAAGACATGTCTGGACCACTTGACCTCAACCTACCCACAGGAATAAGAGTCCTGAATGGCAAGTTGTCCAGTGTGAGAACTGCACATGAGAAATAGACAAAATGAGAGATAAGGAAGACAGGAAATAACTGGGGTCGTGTGGTCTTGCCTAAACTGATCCCTTATGCCAATCAAGTTGATTAAGAAGTATTGCATCTCATACCCTATTTGCAGGGAGAGAAAAATCCAAAGGTAATAGAGAGCTATGCCAGGTAATGTTGTAAAAGAGAACATGAGATACCTCAGTCACAATACTGTCTTAGTACTAAAAACTGCAGCCTAGATGGAAGAGCAGCTTCAACTTCCATGAGGCACCAGCTCTCGTCTCAGACCAGCCTTGCCAAGTACAATCCTGGACTAGGATACAGGACCCACGTTCCCCTGGTGCTTTCATCAGTACTTCTGAGGAAGTCTTGGGTCCATCTGGGTCATGATAGATGTCATTCTGTAAACATGTTTCTCTTATTGGTAATGAATAAAGCACTATTGGCAAACAGGAAAGCAAGATAGGCTGGACTAGGAGACAAGGAGTATTTGGGAAGGTGTAGTAGGAGATTCAAGATGTAGAGACTTGAGAGAGCATAGATCCAGACCCTCTCTTTAGTAAGATAAGACCACATGGAAATATTTAGGTTGATAGAAATGGGATAATATTTAAGAAAGAGCAAGCCAATACGAAACGCTAGTAACTGACCAACAGATTTATATCTAATACAGCATCTCTGTGTGTCATTTGAGGCTGGCATGGCTTTGGGACCAGGCTGGTGGGAAAACTGCTCTTAACAGAGTCATCATAGTATTATACTGGCTGTCTTCCTCTCACCATGTAGGTAAGGTGAACTTATGGCAAGCTAAGCACCAAACGAAGGGGCAGTGTGGGGAGAGGTGCACAGGAGGGTCCAGGCAGATGTATGCAGGGAGGCAGGTAAGAGCTAAGGGAGAGATGTAGTCATTGTGAGGAATCTCCCACGCTAGAGCAACAGTTCTCAACTTGTGGGCAATGACCCCATTGGAGATTCAAACCATCTTTTCACAGGGATTGACACTGGATTTCCTCCATTCTAGATCTTCACATCATGATTCATGACAGCAACAAAATTAGTTATGAAGTAACGACAAAAATAATTTTATGGTTGGGAAGTCACCACAAAATGAGGAATTTATTGAAGTGTCACAACATCGGGATGGCTGGGAACCACTGTGCTAGAGTTTAGATAAGATTGTTTAGATATTCGGAAGATTCAGAAACCAGTGAAGCAGAGTTTGTCTTCTCAGTGGCAAATTTTTGAGGTTTTACTTTATTGTCTCTGAGAATGACTCATTTTGTGGTAACCCTAAAGCCTGTCATCCTGTGTTTGCCACTCAAGTGCTTATGTTACCACATCCACCCACAGGTCAATTTCCTTACAAAAATGACTGCTGCCAAGTAACAATGTGAGCATCCGTGGAAAGGCTACCATAAATGCCCTTCCCAGATAGTGAGATCAACAACTAATGTATCCACCATCATGGAGCCCTCACCTAATACCTGTCAGAAACAGAAACAAACACCCATACCTAAACACTGAGTTGAACTAGAATCCAGATGCAGATGGAGAGGACAAGACCTGAACAAGGAGGAGCTAACGGCCCCCCAGGATGATAGCTGGGAATCCAGCATGGGACTGACTCAGGCCCCCCTGAATATAGGTCTCAGCCAGAAGGACTGAGCAGTCTAAGGGATCTCAGACGGTGGAACCAGGATGTATTCCTAGTGCACAAAAGGACCTTGTGAACACATCCCCCATGGATGGATAACTGCCTTAACCTAGAGACAGGAGAGAAGCCCTAGTCCCTACTTCACATGACCTGTCAGATCTACATGACCCCAACTGGATGGTATTCCCCTACATATGGAATTGGGGTGGGGGATGGAGGGGAGGGTGGTCAGGGTGCATGTGAGGGGGCAGAGAGGGTAAGAGGGAGGGAGGGTGGGAGGGAGGGAGGGAGAGGGAACTGGGATCGACATGTAAAATAAAAAATAAATAAATAAAATTTTAAAATGTCGATGTGTTTTTCTGTATATGGGTGTGTTGCCTGTAATATTATGCACCATCAGAAAGCAGTGTCCTTGGAGGCCAGAATAGGGCATCAGATTCCCTTGAACTGGAATTTCATATTGTTCTGAGTCACCCTATGGTTGCTGGGAACTGAATACTATTTCTCCTCAGGAGCAGCAATACTATTAAATGCTGAGCTATCTCTCCAGCATCCCTTCCTTTCTTCCTTTCTTCCTTCCTTCCTCCTTCCTTTCTTTCTCTGTGTGTGTGTGTGCGTGTGTGTGTGGTTATTTTTACTGCATGTATATCTGCGAACCACAAATATGCCCAATGCCCAGAGCAGCATTGAATAAACCTGGAAATGTAATTACAGATCGTTTATGCTATATCATGAGGGTGCAGAAAACAAAACTCAGGACCTCTCCAAGAGCAATGAGAGTTCATAACCACTGATCCGACTTTCCCAGGTGAGTGTTTTCAGAGGCAGATCTGACTGACAGAAGGTAGTGAGCAAGAACTTGCTAGAACTTAGGCTGTAATAGAAAGATGTATTGGCAAATCTAGATTAGAAATTTAAGACTCTAACGGATGGAAGCAAATGCAGTGACCCACGGCAAATCACTGAGCTGAGCTCCGGGACTTCCATTCAAGAGAGGGTGGGGGGATGATAAGAGCAAGGGAGTTAAGATCCTGTTAGAGAAAACCGCAGAGACAGCTGACCTGATCTAGTGGCAGTTCATTTGCATGAGACCAAACTAGGCCCTCTGAAGGTGGGTGAGTTATGTGGTATGATCTGTTCGGGGAGTCCATGGCAGTGGTACCAGGACCTATCCTGGGTGCGTGACAGTCCATAGTCTGGGTGTTTGAACTGTCATTTTGGAGCTCATCACCTGTGGTGGAATACCTTGCTCAGCCTTGATGCATGGAGGACGGGCTTGGTCCCACCCCAACGTGGTATGCCAGTCTTTGTTGACTCTGCAAGGAAATACTTACTCTGAGGAGTGGATTGGGGTGATATAGGGGTAGGTAAGAGTGGGAGAAGAGGAGGGAGGGAGAACTGAGGTTGGTATGTAAAATGGAAAAGAAAAATGCATTAAAAAAGAAATTTGAGACTCTTTCTCTGTATTAGACCATTGTTACTAATACCTAGGATCTAAGGTCAATCTCTGAAAGCATTACACCTCTAAACAGTACAATGAGGCAAGATAAGAGACTGATGTTATGTTGTTTGAAATCAATTACTTCCTGACCAGATCGAGCCCTGCTTTAGATGCCTGATCTATTGGAAGGGTCAAAGCAAAGCCATGTCTTTTTGCCTTTCTGGAATAATGACAGTGGCATGTCAGAAAACAAATTATTTCCTCTCCAGTAGATGCAGTTGGGAGTCCTGAGACTTTTTTTCAGAAATTGTCCAGAGGCGCGTAGCTTAGTTCTAAAGTCAATTCAAACTATCCATCTGTTTTCACTTCCTGAGACAGACATTCATTCAAGCTCCTGATGACCAAGAACAACATCTGAAAAAAAAACAGCTTCTCCAAATCCAAAGACATATGAAAAGGACTCCATGGTAAAGACACCGGATACATGCTTGTACACACACAGCTTGTCTGTCACCCACGCTCTGTGTGAGGTAGATGTAGACACTGGGATTTCTGTGTCTCGGTTTACCAGGAATAGGGACACATGGTGAATGAATGTTGCCATGGTGATATGGTGGCCTCAACATGAACACAGCCCTAACGCTGGGACAGGACAGCTGTTCAGGTCAGCACCACCTGTTACATCTTCCTGCTGGAGAGAATTCACTGGACTCTGAGGACGACGTGAAGTCATCAGGAGGACCTGTGTCCTCTGTTCCTCCCCTTGGACTCCCTGAGTTTCCTGTAAAGTCTCATAGGCCCACCAGGACAGTTGCAGAAGGCCTTGGCACTGGAGGAAATGGGCTCTCTGTACAATGTACAACCACAGGGTAGGTTGTACGGAACAATGCTGTGCAGACGACAGAGGAGATTCCTCTGTTTGGGACCTCAGACTCTTACAAGGCTCTCATTCGACTAGTGTAGGCCTCTCACCACCTCCCTCCTGACCAGAGTGTGAAGTAAGGTCAATCACAGGAAACAGAGGGCAACTCAAGCGCTCAGAGATGGTGTGGCCTCCTGTGCTATGAGGAAGAAATGCGGACTTTGGGACATGTGAGTTGAGCTTAATAGTAAAGAGAGCAGGATGACTGAGTAGCCCAGAGTGTTGTGTCTCTCCGGATGCACTGACCATCCCTGCTCAGCCCTGGGCCAGAGCCCTACAAAACTTTGTTGTCTAAGGCTGTCATGAAGATAGGGGTGATAAGAATTCCCATGTTGCTTCCCTGGGTATTCTCACAACCTGTGCTTAGGACTTGATGTCTGGATAAAAACCTTGGCCAGGGTGCCAGGAGCAGGTCTTCTTCCAACTCAGTGGTCCAGCTGGACCACATCAAGAGCCGTTCTCCTTAGGTAGTTCATGATGACTGACAGGAGCCACTGATTACCAAAGAATGAAGCATGGATCTAGGGATGATCTAGGAGTGTATCAGCGGCCTTTGAGTGCCGTCCTCAGTGCCAACTCAGAGTTCACAGAGAGTGCTATGGCAAACATGGAGACTAGAAAAATCTGACAGTGAAATAAAGTCTCCACTATGCACTTTCCCACATTATTGCGGTAAATAAGGATCAGGGTAAACAAATAGGCCGAATAGATGTTTATTCAGGGAGAAATAACTTACAACCTAGACAGATGAATACCAGGAAATTCAACCCGATCCTCTCCTGTCCGAGTCAGGCCAGAAAAGAAGCCTTTCCTGGCCCCCTCCGACCTCCTTCCACAGGTCACTTCCGCCCATGGCTCCACCCCCCAATGGGCGTGGTCAGTGCCACAGAAGGAGACAAAGTGAATATCCCACTACACCACATCACTTTCTTTATTGTTCTGCCAACCTGCAAAGTTTTCGGCTTGTATACGCATACACACACACAACCAGCAATTCCCTGGCAACAGCAAGCTTATAAGACTTGTATTTCTCAGGGTCGTAAAAACGGATAAGGGCTACACAAAGTGGGTAACTGTCAGCTTCCTTTGTGGCTCAGAGGGGGGTATGACTTGTAAGATGCCCAGGCATTTCTAAGAGGCAAAGGGGTCCATGGAGGAGAAGGTTATAATGTCTAAGAAGTGAGAGGGGGAGTTCATGTGTTAAAGTACATTCCTACGTGTGTCAAAAAAATTCCTAGTATGTCTCCAAAAAATGTTAACAAGAAAAGTTAACATCACTGGGTGATGTCACCCAGTGAATGCCACTGTAGTCAGCCATTTACCATGTCTTTACATGTGTGCCTCAAACAAACTGTGGATCAGAACTATTTAGTAACAGTGATGTGCACAGGGAAAGAGGGAAGTCCCTTTTCCTGTCACTCTTCCTCCCTCCACATGGATGACTGGTACCTACTAGGCGGCATTGGGGTTACATGAATCAGTTATGAATGGACTATATCTGGAATGTGAGAGGATGCATTTATCTCTATGCAATTTTAGGGGGCTCATAAATTTTGTTTCCATGGATTCTGAGAATTATCTAAATATTTCATTCACAACCTAAGCTTTTAACTCCTGCAATTCTGTTTATTATATTGATTTCTTTTCCTTTTTGGAAACAAAGTCGCCCTTATGTCCTGGCCTTTCCTGGGACACATCTTTATCCCAGGATTGCAGTCATGAGTCACCATGCTGGCTGTACCTGAGTGGTGACTGATTATTTTCCCAGCATAACTTTCCTCATTGTTGTACCAACTCAGTAAATAAACTCCCCAAATCTGCTGTAGGATTAGAGGAGAAGGTCACTCATTCGCCATGGCCAGCCTGACTGGGAGACTGGTCTTTGAACTGATGGGGTTGGAGACCTCACACTGATACTCTCCAGCATCCTCCCTCCTGACAGGATCTATGGTGAGCTGGCACTTTGTTGGGGACAGAGTCATCCTCTCTGTGAGCTGGAGACTCTGGTTATTGAAGATCCAACGGATGGAGATTCCAGTGTCACCTGAGAAGCAGGTGAGGACCACAGAGTTCTGTGCAGTAACTGTGGTGCTGGTGACTCGGACAAAGGGCTGTGTCACAGGCTCTGGGAAGCAAAAAGGGGGTGGAATTGACAATAACCCTGCAGAGATCTCGACCACCCCGCTGTAGTTAATGCACACTTAATAAAGTCTTCAGGGTGGAGACATAAGGGCTATGACAATAGATAGATTACTTGTGGTTTGGATCTGTCACCCATGGCCTGTGTGGACCTGGTTTAACCTCTGTGTTTCCTAGTCTCTGTTTCCCTTCACCAGGACACACAGTGCATGATCACTGTCAGGGCCCCGAATTGAGCTTAGATATGAATAATGGCCTGACCTTGGGATGGGGAGCAGCACCTCTTACTACTTACCTGCAGAATGGAATTCCATAGGCTGGACTCCAAAGGAAAAGGAGCTGACTGGAGACCTGTCTCCTCTGTCCCTCCCATTGAGCAGCCTGGCCTTCCTCTGAAGTCTCCTAAGCCCTTAAGAAGAGTTGGCTTATTCCTGGCACCTGTCCACTGAGATTTAGGTGTAGAAGATACCCAAGTGACCTAGCTAACTGCAGATGCCATGTCAGTACACAGCTGGTTCCACACTCTATGGTCTTGGACAGTCAGTTAAAGCCTTGTTCCATGTCAGCTCTGACAAGAAGTCAAATTGTAGCCCTGAAGACAAGATCTCCAATGATCACCTGGAGCTGAGTCTGGAACAGAGGTCTGGATCCAGAGTTTCCTGATGCTCATGTCACCATAATGAAACAATAGTTTCCCTGATAGGCCATGCCTGAATCCCATGAGATCTTGCTCAAGATCATGTCCATTCATACTGAGCTCCCCAACTTTCTGAGGCTGACTGACATCCTTGGGCTGAGTTACTCAGCACACATCCTCCTCTGTAGGTGGAGTCAGGAGAGGGATTCTGGTCTATTTTAGTATGTCTATCCAATGTATTCCTGCACTAAGTGCTCCAATGAGGAGACATGATATAGAGAGCAGGAAATCAATCCACAACACTCAGTCCCATGTGAGTAAAGGGAAATCAACCCCACCAGAGCCCAGAGGTCATTAAAAAAATCACTTACTGTATATGTGGATGTACACATGTGCGTCTTGACTTTCAAACTGTGTATTTAAGGTTCGAAGGGTATAGAATCCAGTGTCCTTCTGGGTGGCATTTTGGAGCAGAAGGGATCCATTGGGATACAGAGTCTCTCTACCGCTGTGTGCAGGCCCCAGCCAAATGTTATTAGCATATATTTTCTTCCATGCAATTACATGTCTGCTGATAGTGGTTACCCCTTTGTACCAGGAAAAGACTCGAAGGTTCTCTGGGATATTATGAACAAGTAGGAGAGCATTTTCCCCTTCAACAACATTGGTTGGCACTGACTCAATAGAGAGCATGGTGGGAGGAAGCCTGCAGGCTAAAAGGGAGGGCAGAAGGGAAGAGAGAAACATTCATCAATACTTAGACCTTTGTCTTTGGTAAAAACCTGGGGCCTGATTATTGAGAACCTTATACCATCACTCAACTGAGATGGGTGGAAGTGTCTGTCAAACTCAGAGTAAGGAAGTAAGCAGGTGACCTCCCTGGCTTCTGTGCACCTGCCTGTGTCTCTTCCTGTGTGGAGAGCTCTCTCCTCGTGTGTTTACACACTCACCGTCCTCACATGCCTGCTCACGCTCAGAAAATGTGGAGGCAGGAGGGTGTCTTTCCTCAGTTCTTCCTCTACAGACCCTAGTCTCCACATCCTGCCCTCTGTGATCTCTTATCTCCCTGCGTGCGGTCAACCCCAGACTTTACTTTGAGATGGTGTCCTACTCTGTCTTCCAGCCCACTAGAGCTGGTACCTTACTAGAAAAACAAGTTTGTTCTTTCTGGAAGGCCCAATACATGGACGGGCTGAGCTACATGTGGGTGGATGGAAGAAGGAACGTTTGTTGATGGATATTCACGTCCAGCTGTTTATGAAGTTGTCATGCGTGGAGCCACTGACACCAGTTACAACTCCAGCTTGCATTAACTTATGTGTGTGAGTGCAGTGGGTGTGGGTGGGTGTGAATGTGTTTGTGCATAAGCATGTGTGTGCCAGCCTGTGCGTATGTGTGCATCCAGGTAACCGCACCTAGATTGAAGCCTTTCCTCCTTCCACTTTAAGAGATTCCAGCCAGGCTCTGATCTCCTCCCCCTCCCCCTCACACTATCAGACAATGTTCTCCTCTCCTGTGAACAGCACTACCAGGGGCTGCACCATTTGCAGAGAAATGCACAGTGGACCTCCTTGGGGGCGGCTATCTTGCCTGCCCTCCCTCTGTGGAGAAAACCTTTTCCCGCAGCACTTCGCCACAGACTTCCACTCGCTGGGCTCTGCCTCCTGACAGGCAGGGGCCCTTCTGAGGTTAATGTGAATGTTGTCGGGAATGGTGTCCAAGGCCATCCTCTGTCCTTACAACTCTTAGTCCTGCCTGGTATCCCATGGGTTCTCTATGTATTTTTCAGACCATGCAATGAGCAACAAGGCCAGTGATCATCTATCTCTGTGCCCTAAGACGACAACAGCTCACCCCAGGGCTGCCCTCTGCTCTGTTCTCCCAATGGGTCCTTCATGACATGGAATCCTAGCAGAGCACCTGCCTTCTGTTCTCAATGCTCTGATAAGGTGGGATTTACTCCCCACAGAAAGGTGACATAGATGTCCACGAAAGCTGTAAAGGGAACAGCTGAGTAATGCCTTGGAAAGGGGAAAGACCGGCTCTCAATACAGGGACCTGAAACTCAGGAGAGAGATCCATGAGGATGTGAAGCAGGAGGAGACCTGAGTCCTAGAGGAAGAATGATGGTTCCATCAACTTAGGAAGAGTCTCAGAGGGACCCTCCATCTTCCTGTGCTGGTTAAGCCATGCCTTGGGTCTCTACATGTCCTCCTGGGGTGCAGCTGACATATGTCTAGTTGAAGTCCTCATAGGATGTGCCAGGAGGTAGGGGGTGGTAATAGGATCCTCTGGCAGAGAAGTATGCTTAGAAACACAGGAAACAATGAGGGTGTCTAAGAAAGCTGGAAGTGACTTACAGGTCTGTAGGGCATGGATGGAAGGTAGGCTACAGTTAATCTCATGGCTCCTAGAAATAATTTTCTAGGTGTTGATTTTTTTTTGTCCTTCTATAGCCACCTGATGATTACTAGAGGAACTGTCCCTCATGTCTTGGAGCTGTCCAGATCAGCACCTCTGTTACTGTTTGAATTCCAGAGCTGGACCCCAGAGGACAATCACTTGCAAAAAGGACTTCTGTAATTTGTTATTCTGCTTGGGGATCCTGACCTTTTAGTAAGGTCTCATAATTCCATCAGAACAATTAATTGGCTATCTGGGCACCTACCAGCTATACTCCCCATGTGCTTTCGCTGAGTAAGCTGACTACTGCTCTCATGAGAGTGCACTAGCTGGCTCCATATACCAATAAAGCCTTGTTCCCTGTCAGCTCTAACTGCAGGTCAAAAGCAAGCAGTAACAACTAAAAGCACCCAAGTATCATCTCTAGTCAGAGACAGGGATTTGAAGTTAGGGCTTCTCAGCACTCTCTGTGAGGATCCCATGACTTCATCAGCCAGGGCCTGTCTGACTCCCACAGTATCTTTCTGGAGACATCTTCATGGTGACGGCTCCAAGTGTCTTGGCTACATTTGACACCCTGGGGCTGAGTTTACCAAGCACAGGTCCTCAACTCTACAGTAAATAGAGACGAGGGGTTCTGGTATATTACAGTTTGTCTACTCCATGTGCGTCCTGCAGTAAGGGTGCAAAACCCCCATGTAGGGACACAATGGGAAGGAAGGGGAGCAGGCACAGACCATTCCTGGGGATTCAGTATATGAAGCAGGATAAGCCACACCCAGCAGCTAGAGACCATAAAGAATTACTTACTGTATACATGGAGTTGTACGTGTGTTTTTTCAACTTTGAAATCTCTGTTTAAAGTTTCTAGTGTGTAGAATCCTGAATCTCTCTCCATGACATCCTGCAGCAGAAGGGATCCATTGGTGTACACCCTTGCTCTTCTGCTATAGGCAGGCCCACGGGTGATGTAATTCATGGCTCTGCTGTATACTGCGATTTTAGAAGTCTCAGTGCTATACGCTGATTTGTACCAGACAAAGGCTCGAAGATCTTCTGGCAGATTATGAACAAGGAGAAGAACGCTTTCCCCTCTAACAGGACTCTCTGGCACTGGCTCTATCATGACTTGGACAGAAGTGAGAGGGTTACAGCACACAGAAAGGGAGGCTGAAAGACAAAAGAAAAACAGTTATCATAAGGAGTGTTGTGCTTGGTGGAAAGATAGCAACCTTCATCCTAAATGGATTGGATTCATCACTCAGCCTAAAGATGAAGGTGTGGGTGTTTCTAACCCACATGGTTGATGTCATCAACATGACCTTCATTTCCTCGGCTCCTCTGAATAAGTCACTTGCATCTGCCATTCACTGCTCTCAGTCAAGAACAGCAGACTGAGGTTGAGATTACGCCTCCTCTGAACTTTTTCTACACAGACCCCACATCCTCATTCTATAGCTTTTTTTCTCAACTTCACTTGTGGCTCCAGGCAAGCCCGGAATTCAACTTCTACGTGTCCTTGCTATGTTTCCCTGAATCCTACAAGTCTAGGACTGGAAAAGGGCCAGAAGAAGTCTAATATTCTTGGCAAGCTCAGGTGTTAGAAAAGACGTAGCTACTAGAATGGTGGGTGTGATGTCAATGTCACACAAGCTACAGTTGATTTGGAAGAGGGGGACTCAATTGAAAATGACATCCCCATGTTGGTCTGTGGGCAAATCTATGGTAAATGTTTTAAAATGGTGATTGATGAGGGAGGGTCCAGCCCACTGAAAGCAGTTCAGCTCCTATCCTAAAGGTTCAAGGGTGATATAAGAGACAAGGCTGAGCAAGCAATGAAGAACAAACTAATAGGCATCACTGTCTCTGCAATCATTCCTAGAGTGTATTTATGAAACTCATGTGTGGAGAAAATAAATGCCCCAGTTTGACATAGACAGCCAAAAAAAAAAAAAAAATATCGCTTCCATTCAGCACTAAGAGGCATTAATAGTCTAGCTCTGGCAAAATGTCCCATATGGTCACAAGCAGTTGAGCTTAGGATAGTGGAGTATGGCTCAGGCTTCCTGGTGATTGCCTCTCTATTAAGATGCCACGGTTTCCTCAAGCGCCTCCTGTGTGGTGCCTACATGGTCTTTCTTGCTGTAATCTGCATTGAAACTCCCATGAGACTGAGCATAACATGACATCTTAGGCTGAGTGACTTTGCATCAAGGACTTACTTGACAGAGGAAGAGTCAGATGATAGAGTATGATCTATCAAGATTTGTCTCCATCATGTGTGTCCACCACTCGGTGCTCAAACACCAACATTGAGACTCTAATCATGGGCCATAAAAGATAGTGCTGTGTCTAAACACCAAAGAACACTGAATGATCACTGAGAATCACTTACTGTCTACCAGGAGTTTCACATGCACTAGTCCAAAGTTCAGGTCTGTACTCAGAGTCCGTAGGGTGTAGAATCCAGTGTCATTCCTGGTGACACTCCGGAGCAGCAGGGACCCATTGCTGTACAGAGTCTCTCGACCACTGTGAGCAGGGCCCAGAACAGTTGAATCTGTGGCTATTTTGTGTCGGGCAACCTCATGGTCCTTGAACACAATTGCTCCTTTGTACCAGAAAAGGGATCGAAGATTCTTCGGAAGATTGTGAACCACTAAAAGAGCGCTTCCTCCTTCAGCGACTCTGGGTGGAACGGATTCAACAGTTGGCTGGTCGGAGGTGGGATGGTGCCCACAATGGGAGGCTAGAAGGGAAGAAAGATGCATTAGTAGTAGGACTTTTGTATTTCCCTAAGTTGGGGCCCTGTGTCCTGAGCACGTGAGTCCATTGCTCAGCCAAGGTGTGTGTCTCCCTGTCCTACTAGGTGAGTCAGGACTTGATCCCCATGCTTACAGTGTCCCACACATGTCATTTTCTCTCTGATAAGTAGTTAACGTGGCCCCAGTTCCCTGCCCTCAGACCCCTGCTCACATTCAGTGTAGGTTGGTGTTGGGAGGGATGACTTTCTGGCTTGTTTCCCTACAAACATTGACACCTGACCCCTGAATTTTCTGTTGTCTATGTTCTTTCCTCTTGTGATTCCAGGCAACACATGACTTCATCTTTCAGCTTTCTTTATTGGACTATCTTCAATTCCACTTGTAATATACTTTTGTGAAAGCCATGGTTAACCTCATTTTTGGAAGGCGTGTTACCTATAAAAGGATCTGACACCTGGGGAGAATGAATGAATGAATGAATGAACGAACGAACATGAGAATGATCAACAAATGTTCCAAAGTCCAGCATGTCCAGGGTTTTATTCAATTTTTTACATTTATTTCCATTTCATGTGTTCATGATTGCATGCAGGTGTGAACACATGTGCATTCCTACATAGATGTATATATTGCTAGGTGTGTGCCACAGTATGTGTGAGGCAGAGGACAACTTTGAGGAGTGAGAGGTATCTCTCCTTCCACCACATGGGACAGGGTGACTAAACTCAGGTCACTGGGCCTGGCAGAATTTGCCTTCACTCAATGAAACAGCTCACTCACCCACCCAGGTCAGATTTTTTTCTTTGTCACTTGTTTTAGTTGGGAGCATCCACCTTCAGAATACAGCAGCCAAACCTGATTGTCATTGAATAGAAAGCAATGCCGGTTTCAACCGTTCCCATTACCATTTCCTGTTCACTGAGAACTTCCTGCTGATGGACTTCTCTCCACCTCTGTATCAAATCCACTAATGGGGCAAACAGACACCTTGACTCTCCTTCAGATTCTTGTCCTCCTTAGAGACTCCACCCAGGGCCTGAGACACACACACACACACACACACACACACACACACACACACAGAATTGTCTTCACTCATGAGACTAGCCCTTGCCCATGGAAACCCTAGGATAAGGTAGGGATCTTCCCATGGAACAAGGCAGAGTCTCCAAGGGTTCCAGTACTGCGACCACACTCCTCTGTCCCACAGTCAGCTCTGATATATCTGAGTCAGCTCTGCTGTCTTGTCTCCCTCTGAACTAAGTCTGCTACAAGGCAGAAGCCCATAAAGAGCCACATGGACTATGGGTGGGCCCTTGTCCAAGGCAACTCTCCCTCCTCTCCTCGGCATTGCTTGGTGATTCTCTTCATGAATCTCTTTATTTTTCAGCCTTCCAGACCACACAGTGAGCAATGGGCCAATAATCATCCCTGTGTCCCAAAGTCCAACAGCTCACCCCAGGGCTAACCTCTGCTGTGCCCTGGCCTTGGCCCTGTAGCACCAAAGTAGGGGACTCTCTCATCCCTATGCATCCGCTGTGACACAGAAACTCTGCCGTGAACCCAGTTGTCCTCATGTCCTCAATGCTAGTAAGGTGGAATTTACCCTCATCCAGAAGGTGACAGATGTCTGTGATGGCTGTAAAGGTACCACCTGAGTAATGCTAAGAAAAGGAAGCTCATTGGTTATCACTAGGGGGCCATTTAAGGTCAGATGCAGCAATGACATCCAGTATCACTTGTATCTGGAGATCCATGTCCTGATGTTTGAGAAGGTTACCTATGTCCTAGAAAGGTGTGGTCTCACTCTGCTGTTGAGAGTTTCAAATGGAAACCTGAATTCCTGCCACTTTTTAGCAGAGGTATGGTTCAGGTTTGCACATGTCCACTCTGACATTTTAGGAACACCTCTAACCTTTCCTTGGAAATTCCCCTGTGGTCATCCTCTCTTTCCCTATGCTAGAAAATAGGAGGCTGAACATGGTCCCCTAGCAGAGTACTTTTCTCAGACAAATGAAGCATCAGAAGGTGGGAGAGACCTCCATGACTATTGGAACAGAGATGGAAATCATGTATGTGTCTTACATATTCTCCAGGAAACCAGCACATCAGGGACTGACTATGAGCTCATATCACCCCCTGGTGATCAATAGTATGACATTAGCTCAGGGCTGGGAGATGTTAAGACCAGCAGAGCCTGTTATTATCTGCCTGCATGAGGGAATTGCCTGGGTTTGACCCCAGAGGACAAGAACATACCAAGTGGATCTGTGGCCTCTGTTCTTCATCCTGGAGACACTGGTCTTCCTGTCAATTCTCATAAGGCCATCAAACTAGTTGCCTAATGCCCTGGGCACCTGTCTGGCTCGATCCTGCACGCTGAGTTTCAGAAGGAGGTGGCCAGGGGACCTAACTTGAATGTGGCTCTAGGACCAGTATACTAGTTAGTGTCCCATGCTGTGAAATATGATCAACCAAAAACTGTTGCTCCCTTTCAGTTCCGTAACGAAGTAAGAGTCCAAACCTGGGGAAATACTCCCCAAGGTCACCTATAGTCAAGCCTGGGAGACAGGGCTGGAAGCAGGAATTCCTGCTGGTCACCTCTCTCTGAGGAGCCCAAGATATGCCTGTTGCCAACAGTGACCTTCTCGGTACCATGTTCATGGCGAGAAGAACAAAGACAAGACTGAGTATAATGCACTTGAATTGACTTACTCTTTCACATCACACACACACACACACACACACACACACACACAAACACACACACCTCGGAGGGTTCAGTCAAGGCAAGAGTCTGATCTATGGTCATTTGTCTAAAGTATGTGTGTCCTGCACTAAGTGCTCAAACACCAACATGGACACACAGCACAGAATGAAGGTATGAACAGATCAGGCAAGAGAGTCCTGTGTGTACACACAACCCAGGACTGAATGATCGAAACAATCACTTACTGTCCAAATGGAGACGCACATGTGCTAATTGAGTTTTCAGGTCTGTACTCAGAGTTCGCAGGGTGTAAAATCCAGTGTCATTCCAGGTAACGTTCTGGAGCAGCAGGGATCCATTGCTGTACAATCTCTCTCGTCCACCGTGTGCAGGGCCGAACACAGTTAGATTTGTGGCTATCATATGTCGGGCAACCTCAAGGTTCTTGAACAAAATCCCTCCTTTGTACCAGAAAAAGGCTCGAAGATTCTTCGGGAGATGGTGAGCCACTAGAAGGACACTTTCTCCTTCTGCAATGCTGGATGGCACTGATTCAATAGTGGGCTTGGGAGAGGTGGGAGGGCACCCACAAGGGAAGGCTAGAAGGGAAGACAGAGGTCAATCGATAGTTGGACCTTCACATTTGGCTAAGATGAGGCCCCGTGTCCTGAACAGGTGTCCATAGCTTAGCTTCGTTGTGTGAGTGGGTGTCTTCCTGTCATTTACTGACTTCCAGGTCCTCAGTGTCCCTGCAGTTGTGATTTCCTATGTATGGCACACCCTGCTCAGGTGTCAACATAGAAACACAAGCAGAGGGGAGGCAGACACGGGGTGGATTTGACATTTCTGTGTGTATCCAATGGAATGAACCCCACCCAGCACCCAGAGTTCACACAGAATCACTTACTGTAAACGTGAAGGTATGTGGTTGTTACTGATACAATTCCGACATGTCCATTTATGGTTCGGAAAGTGTAGAATCCTGTGTCCTTCTGGGTGACATTGTGGATCTGCAGAGATCCATTGCTGTACAATCTCTCTCGACCACTGTGTCCCAGTCCCGTCACAGTTCCATCCTTGGCCAGTGAATATAGTGCAATTCCATGGTTCATATTCTTCACCCCTTTGTGCCAGACAAAGGCTAGAAGATTCTCTGGTAGATTATGAACGCGTAGAAGGACATTTTCTCCTTCAACCACTTGGGGAGGCACTAATTCAATGGTGACTTGGGCAGTGGTGGTCAGGTCCCAGCAGGTTAAAAGGAAGGCTATAAGGGGAGAGATACAAGTCACCAATATTGAGCAAGTGTGGCACTACTCACCTTTGGTGTGTGGGTAGGGATGTGTCCACTCTCCTTGATAGAGGTGAGAAACATGACCCCCAATCCCTCACTGCCTATTGTTTCCTCTATGGAATTCTGGACTCAGTTTCTGCTGACTCCCCCACTCGGTGTCCCCATATCCCTCCTCACATGGTGTATTTAGTGTGAGGAGCAATGCCTCTCTGACTTGCTCTTCTAGGAGATTATTGCTCAGAATATTTTTCTCTATTCCCTGTGTGCTTCCAGTCAACACCCGATTTCATCCTCTGGATAGTCTGGTGTTGGGTCCACTGGAAGCAGGGATTTTCAAAAAACAGGAACTAGTGTGACCTCTTTGGAAGGTTCAGTTCCTAAAAAATATTCAGGCACCAGTGGATAGAGGAAGGAAGACAGGAAAGAAGGAAGGAAAAAAGGAAGGAAGGGAGGAAGGGAGGGACAGAGGGAGGGAGGGAGAGAGGGAGGGAGGGAGGGAGGGAGGGGAAAGTCATATCCTTAGGTTTATCCCAGGTTTGGAGCAAATAACAATTATTATACTCAAGGGTGATTTAATTGTTTTTTGTTTTCTTATGTTCTATATGTGTCTTTCTCTGAAGACACCTGTCTCAGATTGTGCAAGGGTGGGGTGTAAACACAGCACCTGTGTGGAGGGCAGAAAGAACTGCAGGACTGTGTTCTCTCCATCTACCCTATGGGAGCAAAGGACTGAATTCAAATTGTCATGGCTCCACACACTGAGCCATCGCAGTAGTCCACCCCTGTTTGATTTCTAATTGCAGAGTCACACTGTCATGGTTGGGAACATTGGGCTTCAGAACATTGCAGCCAATAGAAGTGACTTTGAATGGGGAGTATTTGAGGTTTTTCTCTTCCCCTCATTGCCTCCTATCCACTGAGAGCTTCACGATGCTGAGCCTCTGTCACTCATTCTATCTTCTGCCCCATGACTGCAAACAAATCCCTGAGTCTCCTCTGGAGCTTCTTTCATCTTTCAAAGACTCCAGCCTGCCTCTGAGTTCCCTCCCCTACACAGTCAGAGAGCGGGTACCCTTACCTGTGAGCAGGAGCCCCTGCCAAGGGATGCAACCCTTGCAAGGAATCACAGAATACACCCCCATCTCTCCTCTCAGTGCCCCGTCCTCCCTATGAGGAGAACTTCAGCTCCAACACAGCGTCCAGGCTCTGCTGTCCTTCCTCCTTCTGAGATGAGCAGTCTCCCAGGCTGGAGCACTTCCCAGAATTCAATGGGTCTGTGTCCAAGGCACAGCTCTGTCTCCTCCACTCTCTGTGCTGCCCACATCTCCTTCAACTTTCCTCTCTTTATGTGTCTCCTCCAAGCAGCACACTGAGTAACAATGCTGATAAGCATCTCCATGCCCTCAGAGAACAATGGCTCATCCCAGGCCAGACATCTGCTGTGTCCTGACCTTGGATCTGTCATCAGTCAAGAAGGAGCCTCTGCCATGCCTATGTGTCCTTGTGACACAGAGACACAGCCCAGTATCCAGTCTGTTGTGTGTTCTCAGTGCCCTGGTGAAGTGGGATTTACCCCCCCCCCCAGAAGAAGATGACAGAGATGCCTGTGAAGGCTGGAAAGGGACCAGCTGAACAATCAATAGGGACGAAGATCAATCCATCATCATTAGTGTCACCAATCTAGCTTCTGATTCAGGAGGGAGGCCCAGGAGCAGTTGTGTGAGAAGTTTCGTGTCCTCAGTGTTGGGAAAGGGGTGACCTGTGTGTCCTGGGAAGGACTGTGGGCTCCCTCTTCCTATGGAGGATTTCAAGGTAACTGTCTTAGTTAGGATTTATTTCACTGTGAAGAAACAGAGACTCTCAAGCAAGGTAGGGAGGAACAGGTTCATTTGGCTTACACATCCACATTGATGCTCATCGCTGAAGGGAATCAGGGCAGGAACCCAAATGGGACAGGATCCTGGAGGCAGGAGCTGGTGCATGGGCCATGGGGTAGTGCCGCTTACTGGCTTGCTTCCCCTGGCTTGATGGGTCTTCTTCCTTACAGAACCCAGGACCACCAGTCTAGGGATGACACCACCTACCATGGTCTGAACCCTCCCCCGTCGATCACTAATTAAGAAAATGCCTTACAGCTGGATCTCAAGGAAGCTTTTCTTCAACTAAGGCTTCTACCTCTCTGATGACTCTAGCTTACATCAAATTGACACTCAAAACAGCCATTACAGCAGTCTCCCAGCATCTGGTGTTGGCTGAACTGTGTGTTGGGTGAACCCATTTCCTCTGTGATCTTCCTGGGTAGCTGTTTCCCTTTGCCTGTGTGGTTCTCCTGCAGCAATCCTGTCTTCCCCTATGATAGGTGCCATCACTGGGGTAACTCTATGGTTCCCTAGGCAGAGGAGTTATCTCAGACCAAAAACAGGGCAAGGTCTTGGTAGGGAGCTCAGTGTCAGTACACACAGGATGGAAACCAGTCTGCAGGGAAACTGGCTCAGGGAAACATTGTTTTTAATTGTTGAGTATGTGTCCTGACAATCCCACCTAAAGATCACTGGGAGAACTGCAATCTCATGTCTAGGGCCATGGCAGACATGGTCAACAAATCCACCGTGAGCTTCCCTGATGCACTCACACAGGTGGGATGCAGAGCCTGTCATCCTGTTCACTGTGCTCTCCGGTACTCCTAATTCCACCTAGAGTAGTGTGGGTCTAAACACATTAGCCATGGTTTCCCCTCACTCCTCTAATCCTGTTACATCCCTTCATCTCCTTTCCACCACCCCACATTCACTCCTCAAAAAGGATAAGGCCTCCCATGGGAGTCAACAAAGCATGGCAAACCAAGTTAAGGCAGGACTAAGCATCTCCCTGATACATAAAGGCTGAGTGAGGCATTCCACCAGAGGAAATAGATCCCAAAAAGGCAACTCGTGTGCCAAGGATAGATATTGGTCACATGGCCAGGGGCCACAAACAGACCAAGCACACTATCACCCACATGCAGGGGGCTTAGGTCACACCCATACGGGCCCACTGGATGTCAGTCTTGAAACTGTGAGCTCCCTCCAGCTCTTATCAACTGTCTCTGTGGGTTTCTCCATCGTGATCTTGATACTCATGCTCATATAATCCCTGCTCCCTCTTCAACTGGTCTCCTGGTGCTTAGACCTGTGGCTGTGGATCTCTGCATCTGCTTCCATCAGTTACGGGTAGTCACGAATATGACCCTCTCCAGTATTGCTAGGATTCTGGGGAGTTTCTCTCTAACACTAAAATCAAGTCATCTCTGTCATTGCTCTACATTACAGTCCCCTCCCCCAGCTCTGGCACCACATCGCTCATGTTCCCATCACCCATCTCTTCTCCTCTACAGCCATGCTCACAGTTTACCCAGGATATCCCATCTATTTCCCTTGCTCAGGGTGATCCCTGTGTCCCTCTTAGGGTCCTCCTTAGCTTCTTCGCTAGGGCTGTAGACTGTAGCCTTGTTATCATTTGGTTGACATCCAATATCCACTTATGAGTGAGTACATACCATGTTTATCTGCCTAGGTCTGGGTTGCCTCAATTGGGATGACTTCTTCTCGTTCCATTCATTTGCCTGCAAATTGCATGATATCATGTTTTGTTTTGTTTTGTTTTTTGACTGAGTAAATGTACCACGCTTTCTTTATCGATTCTTTGGTTGAGAGAGTTCTAGTTCTTTTCAAGTTCTGGCTATAAAGAATAATGCTGCTATGAACATAGTTCAGCAAGTGTCCTGGGGGTATGATTGAGCATCCTTTGAGTATATGCCAAAGAGTGGTATTCCTGGTTCTAATTTTTTTTGAGGAACTGACATATTGATTTCCAAAGTGGCTACACAATTAGAACTCCCACCATAAGTAGAGGAGTGTTCCCCATACTCCATATCCTCACTAACATAAGCTATCACCAGTGTTTTTATCTTAGTCATCTGACAGGTATAAGATACTGATTCAGAGACCTTTTGATTTGGATTTCCTGGTGACTAAGGATGTTGAGAAATTTCTCAAATATCTTTTGGCCATGTGAGTTTCTTCTGTTCATAATTCTCTGTTTAGATCTCTAACCAGTACTTAATTGGGTTATTTGTCATTTTGATATCTAGTTTATTAAGTTCTTTATGTATTTTGGAAATCATCCCTCTGTCAGATGCAAGTGGGTGAAAACATTTTCCCATTCTCTATGCTAGAGTTTTGTCTTATTGACAATGTCCCTTGCCTCACATAAGATTTTCAGATTCAGGAGGTTGTACTACTGGTGTTGTACTCAGGAAGTGGTCTCCTGTGCCAATGCATTCAAAAGTGCGTCCCACTTTCTCTTTTAAGAGGTTCAATGTGGCTGTATTTATGTTGAGGTCTTTAATCCATTTGAACTTAACTATTGTGCATGGCGATATATGGATCTATCTGCAGTCATCTACAGACCAGTATCCAGTTATGCCAACACCATTTGTTGAAGGTGCTTTTTTTCCATTGTATAATTTGAGATTCTTTGTCAAAAATTAGGTGTTTGTAGGCGTGTGAATTAACATCAGGGTTCTCAATTCGATTCCATTGTTCTACCTCTCTATTTTTGAGCCAATACCAAGCTGTTTTCAGGGCTATAGCTCTATAATACAGCTTAGTTAGGGATGGTGATGCCTCTGGAAGTTTCTTTATTGTACAGGGTTGTTTTGGTTATCCTGGGTCTTTTGTTTTTCCATATAATGATGAGGATTGTTCTTTAAAGCTCTATGAAGAATTGTGCTAAGCTTTTTATGGGGATTGCATTGAATCTGTAGATTGTTTTTTAGCAAGATTGCCATTTTTACTATGTTGATTCTACCTATCCAAGAGAATGGGAGATATTTTCTTTTTCTGGTATCTTCTTTAATTTCTTTCTTTAAGTTTTTATTATATTGGTCTTTCACTTGTTTGGTTAGTGTTACCCCAAGATATCATGCTGTTTGGAGCTATTGTAAGAGGTGATGTTTCTCTGATTTCTTTCTCAGTCCCTTTATTATATCTGTATATAGTATGGCTACTGATTTTTTTAGTTAATCTTGTATCCTGACACTTTGCTGAAGGTGTTTATCACCTCTAAGAGTTCCGTGGTAGGCTTTTTGAGGTCACTTATGTAAACTACCATATCATCTGCAAATAGTGAAAGTTTGACTTCTTCCTTTCCAATTTGTATCAACTTGATCTCCTTTTGTTTTCTTATTGCTCTAGCTAGAACTTCAAGTACAATTTTGAAGATATATGGAGAGAGAGGGAAGCCCTGTAATGTTCCTGATTTTAGAGGAATCGCATTGAGTTTCTCTCTATTTTAGTTTGATGTTGGCTGTTGGTTTGTTGTATATTACTTTTGTTATGCTTAGGTATATTCTTGTTATCCCTGTTCTCTCCAATACCTTAATCATGAAGTAGTATTGGATTTTGTCAAAGGTTTTTTCAGCATCTAGTGAAATAATCATATGGTTTTTCTTTTTTACTTTGTTTATATGGTTGGTTACGTTGATGGATTTTCATATGGTGAACCATCCCTCATTCCCGGTATGAAGCCTGCTGGGTCATGATGGATGATTTCTCTGATGTGTTCTTTGATTTGATTGGCCAGTATTTTATTGAATATTTGTGCATCAATGTTCATGAGGGATATTAGTCTTTCTCAGTTTTATCTTTGTATGTCTTGGGTACCAAGGTTATTGTAGCCTCTTAAAAACACTTTGACAATGACCCTTCTTTTTCTATTGTGTGGAACACTTTGAGGAGTATTGGTACTAGCTAGTCTTTGCATTTCTGGTAGAATTCTGCACTGAAACCATATGGCCCTGTGCTTTTTTGGTTGGGAGATTTTTTGATGACTGCTTCTATTTCATTAGGGGTGATATATATATATATATATATATATATATATATATGTATATGTATATATGTATATATATATATATATTTACATTGCTTATCTGTTCTTGATGTAATTTTGATAAGAGATAAATCTAGAAACTTACCCATTTCTGTTACATTTTCAAATTTTGTGGAGTAGAGGTTTTCAAAGGATGACCTGAAGATTCTCTGGATTTCCTCATTGTCCGTTGTTATGTGCCCCTTTTCATTTCAGATTTTGTTAATTTGCATGTTCTCTCTCTCTGCCTTTTGGTTAGTTTGGATAAAGAATTTTCTATCTTGTTGAATTTCTCAAGGAACAAACTCTTTGTTACATTGATTCTTTGTGTTCTATTCCTAGTTTCTACTTTATTGATTTCAA